AAATGGTATTGGAGTTATTCTCCCTCCACCCCGTTGTTCCCCATAGGAATCATTGAAAGGTGCCACAGTGAGACCAGCAGCAAAAATCCTGGTAGCACAACCTGATGTTGGTGGCATCAGCTGAACTGGCTGTGGTCTTGGTGCTAGAGAAGCACCAAAGTTCAAAGAAGTTCATCATCAGATTTTCAGTATTTTTTTTCTAATATTTTAGCCTAGAGTTCAAAAGAGGTCCCAGACATGTTCAAGAATCCAGAATTTCCTTGTGGGGCCCAAAGTGGTTGTGAGACACAAAGTGGTTGCGGGACAAAATACCTTTTGCAGCCCAGCCTGCTCAGTCTTACGGGTCCAAGCCCCTTCCAGGGGTCAACCCTTGCACCCAAAACACTCTCTGAGGCCCAAACCCACCAGCCCAAATCTTGGGACCCCAGTCTGCTTGTGTATCCAAAGTGTTTTGTGGGGCCCAAAATCCTCATAGGACTCAAACCTTTTTCTGGGCTTCGTTGGCCAAGGCTAACCCTGTGACTCCCAACCCCCTGAGGGACCCCTCTCAGTGGGGTCCTAGTTCAGTCTTGGGGTCCAAGCTGTGTCCATGGATCTCAAAAAGATACCTGAACTCCTTGTAGAGCTCAACTCTGTTTCCAGGTCAATCATTGCTCATGAGTTTCAGAACCCTTCAGGATACCCAACCCCTATCATGTCCCAAAGACCTTCCAGGGCTCAGGTCTGTGGAGTCCAAACCCCGCATGGAGCTCAAACTCTTTTCTGGGCTTGGGTCATCTACAGGCATGTGGGTCCCAAATCCTCTGAGGGACCCAAATCCCATGGGTGACCTAAATCCATTTTACGATCCAACCTGTGCCTTTGGTTCTCCAGACCCCATGTGGAACCTGAATCCCCCTAGTCATCCAAATCCCTTACTGCTCTAAAAGAGTGATGATGCATTGGCAGCCTGTGCCCAGGGAGGTGGTGGAGTCACTGCCCCCAGAGGTGGAGATGCAGCACTGAGGGATGTGGCTCAGTGGACACGGTGGGGATGGGTTGATGGTTGGACTGGATGATCACAGACGTTCTTTCCAACCTTCATGATTCTGTGATTCTATGATCCCAGTGTGGTCGTGGGTCCTTAAATCCTTGTGGGATCTGAACAACCTGAGGCATCCTAGCCCCTCTTGGGGTCCCATCGTGGCTGTGGCTCCCAACCCCCTGTGAGATCTGAAATCTTTGAGGCATCCAAAATCCTGTCAACAATTCTGGGTCCCAACATGGTTGCGAAACCCCAGGCCCTTGTGGCATTTGAACATCCTGAGGTATCCAAACCCCTTTTGGAGTCCCAGTGTGGCTGCATGTTCCCAAAATTCCATGAGATCTAAACACTCTGAATTACCCAAATCTTTACTAGGGTCCCGCATGGTTCTGGAAAGCCAAGCCTTTCCCTGCAGTATCCAAACCTCTTTCTGGATCACAGTGCAATTATGGGTTCCCAAATTCCATGTGGCATCTATACCCCCTGAGAGACTCAAACCCCTTTTGGGGTCCCAATGTGGTTGTGCGTCCCCAAACTTCCATGGGATCTGAACTCCCTGAGACATCCAAATCCCCTTCAGGGTCACAGTGCAATTGCGTGTTCTGAAATTCCATGTGAGATCTCAACATTCTGAAGCACCCAAACCTCATTTGGGGTCCTGGTGTGGCTGCGTCCCCCTCAAACTTCCTCGGGATCTGAACACCCTGAGACACGCGAATCCCTTCCAGGGTCACAGTGCAATTGCAGGTTCCCAAACTCCATGTGGGATCTAAACACCCTGAGGCACCCAACCCCCTTTTGAAATCGCAGTGTGGCTGCGGCCCCAAACTTTTGGAGGGATCTGAATACCTCAAGACACCCAAACACAGTTCAGGGTCACAGCGTGGTTATGAGCGCCCAAACTTCTGAGAGATCCGAACACCCCGAGGCATCCGAGTCACTTTCAGAGTCACAGTACAATTGGGAGTTCCCAAATTGCACGTGGGATCTGAATGATCTGAAGCACCCAAACCCCTTTTGGGGGTCCCGGTGTGGCTGCGCGTCCCCAAACTTTCACGGGATCCAAACTCTCTTGAGGCACCCAAAGCCGTTCTGGGGTCCCGGCGCGGTTGTGGCTCCCAGCCCCTCAGGCCGTGTTTGCGGGGAGCCCCTCACCCCGCCGGCGCCCGCGCTCCGGGCCCAAGCCGCCCCGCCGTCCCCCGGGCCCCTCACGGGCAGCGCCCCCGGCGGACGGGGCGGGGAGACGGCGGCGGCGGCCCTGAGTCAGCGCCCCGCCCGGGGGGGGGCAGGAAGCCGGGCGGGCCCGGGAGCGCGCCGGCCCCGCTCCTGTCACCGCCTGCGTCAGAGCCCGGAGTTTTCCACTGACGAAAAAGGGCAGCGCGGCGCGGCGCGGCGCAGCCCCGGCAGCGGCAGAGCGGGAGGCGCCGCCGCCACTGCAGCCGGAGCCGCCGCGCCGAGAGCCGCAGCCGCCGCCGCAGGTAGGGCCCGGAGCGGGGAGCGGGGAGGGGGGGTTCGCGTCGCCAACGGTCCGGCTCGCGTCGCGCAGCCGTCGGGGCGTACGGCTGGCGTCCGTCCGTCGGGGGTGCGGATCGCCGTCCGCCGTCGGGTGCGGGGGCTGCGGCTCGGCGCTCCCGGCCGCGGGGGTCGGGGTTTCCCGTGTCCCGGCGGACGGAGCCGGGCGGGAGCGTCGCGTAGGCGCCGTCTGGGCCGGGGCTGCCGTGTCCGCGGCGCCCGGAGGCGGCGGGACCCGGAGAGGGTGAACGAACCGCTCGGAGCTCGGCGGGGACGGCGAGGATCGGGGAGCGGAATTGGGGGGGGTCTCCGCCGCGAGTCCCCCCCTCGTTTTTTTTTCCCGGCCGGACACCTATTGACGGCACCCCATCGCCCCTCGCTGAGGCTGCGGCTGCAGTTTTGAGATCTTGAAAGAAAAGCGGGGGGAAAAGAGGAGGGGGTGTGGGGGGGAGGAAGGCTGGCCGGCTCGCTGTACCCCGGAGCTCCCGGCCGGGGATGTATTCCTGTCGCTACAGCAACACCTACCGGCGCTCCGACGGACGCGCCGACGGACGGAGCGCAGCGCCCGCAGCGCTCAGCGCAACAGCGGCGGCTGTGGCAGCGCTTTGGGGAAAGGGAGAGGGGAACCGGAGGAGCCAGAGGGAAGCCCTCCGCACACAGAGCTGCCCCGGTGTTCCCGGAGCGCTCATCACCTCCGCCGTGTCACTTTGGGATGAGGCTGACGCACGGGGACAGCCTTTTCCCAGAGCCAATTATTATAATTATTATTTTTTAATTATTTTTCCCCCCTTTTATTTTATTTTATTATTTTTTTTTTCACGGAACTTCACGTTTTAATCATTATTTTCTTTTTTTTTTTTTTTTTTTCCCCCTTTTGTTCTTTTCCACGGAGCTTCGCCCTTTCATCGTCACTCTTTTTTAACTATTATCATTTATTTTTTTTTCTTTTTCCCCTTTGTTCTTTTTCATGCGGCTCCACATCTTAATTATCGCTCTTTTTTTTTTATTATTATTATCCTTTTTGCCTTTTTCCTTTTCCTCCTTTCTCACGGAGGACACCCGGAGCTTCACATTCCTCCCTTTAATAATTCAGTGCGGGAAAGGAGCGGAGCCGGGGGCAGCGTGCAGCACAGCGTGTACCTGCGGGAGGGAACACACGGAAACCTGCCCTGAATTATTCATGGGGTGTAATCAAGTCGAGGATTTTCCTAGACAAAAGCACGCGTCGCTCTGTTCATATTTATTGCGGTGCAGAGTACATCCGAAGCACGCTGCGTTCGGGCTATGTCAGATAACCTTTTAATGCATTTCCTAATGTTTCTTATTTACCTTTTGAGCTGTCAGTGAGCCAGAAGGGCTTGATGGCAAGCCTACAAAGCCGTTTCTTGCTGGGGTTCCCTAGATATTGGCTCACGTGTGCCCTGCTTCCCATGGACGGCGCTGGCAGTAGGATCGCTCAGGGCACAGCGAGTGCCTAAGGGCTATTTATAACCAGGGGAAAGCTGTGAAACCCTAAACCCAACCGCGGGAGAGGGTGAAAATCAGCTGGGCTGAACCCTACGGGCTCCCCATTGCACCTCAGTAAATATGGCAGGAGTTAAAATGGTTAAGTGGACGGCGGTGATTGAGGGCTGATGGCTCTGCACTGGTGTCTTTTTTGATGGTGCTGAGGTCATGCGGTGGGAATAACACCTGGAAAAGGAAGAAAAACCTCCCCTTGGATTCAGCTCTGGATTTAGAGCTGTAGTGTTGGGCTTTAAAGCAATATTGGGCCCTGCTGAAGGCTCAGCCCCTTTGCACTGGGCTTGCAGGGTGCTCCTAAGGCAAGAAAGCTGCTGGTAAATCCATGCGTAGCACCGCTTGTTTTCTTGCTTTGCAGAGGGAACTTTGCTTACAGTTCACGTGTAGATTTGGGATCCTTCCACCTTTCTGGGATTCTCCCCAGGCGGAAAATCAAATTGCAAACACTGCTGTTCTCCTGCAGTCCCCCAGGAGCTGCTTCCAGGAGTGATTCCCTTTAATTGCCGCATGCTTTGCTCCTTGCAAAACCCCAAAACTTCCTCCCCGTGCCTCTGTGCAGCCCCTTACAGCCAGGCCCTGTAGGATTTTGGGTGCCCTCCTCCTCTCTGGGCTGCATGGATGCCTTCTGAAATCCAAATGACTCAAAATATTTACTGTTGATACGTTGTCCAAGTGGAGGATAGTTAAAACATTAATTCTTTGCATTCCTGCATATTAGGGCTTTGCTCTGCAACTCGCCGAGTGCCAGAAATGGGACTTAGTGGATTCACTCCCCTTCCCCCCCCCCCCCCACTAAGCTCCCCCCCCCCCCCAAAAGCTTGGAAAAAAAAAAATAAAAAGAAAAGGAGGGAGACAGAGAGAAAAAGAAAGGAATGCACATCTGGGCTAAATATTTGTTAGAAAGTATTCCCAGGATAGTGGGAGTTCTGGTGCCAGAGAGGAATTCCTGCGGGTTTGATCCATTGCATTATGTACTTGTTCCAAAAGCTGTTTTCAGTAAAATAGATGAGTAAGAAGTCTTAGCCAAGAACAGAATGTCTTTTTTGGCAACTAAAAGGAAGATAGGATTATTTTATTTCAGGTTATGTAAAAAAAAAAAAAAAAAAAAAGAGAGAGAGTGAGAGGGAATAAAGGTGGTAAAATCCTCCTGCGCTCTGAGCCGCTTGCAGAGATTTCCACTGCCGAGCGCTGATATTTTCTGTTTTTCACGCTGCTGTGCACATTTTTGTGACTTCTATGGCAGGCACAGATGCGGATGGGAGTCTCAGGCTTGCGGCATCACCGCAGCTCAGTGATCCCAGCCGTGGTTTCAGCAGCATTGCTCTCATGGCTTGGGTTCTGCTGCCGAGCGCTTGGGCAAGGAGGGGAGGGCACTGACGGCGCCTGGAGGAGGGCACTGGCTGTGCTCAGTGCAGGGCACCGACTCGGCCCTGATGGCTGAACCCCATCCGGGTGGTGTTTATAGGGGGCCGATGGAGGTAGAGGTATTTTTTCAAAATAAATTAAAAAAATGGTACCGTCCAAAACACAGCTCTGTTGGCTGAGTGTTGGGACAGCATCGACATTCTGCTCGCTTCCCTGGGAATTATACAAACTGGGAAAGCCCCTTCATACCTTTGGGTTTTTTTGTCTGTAGGTAGAAGTCCTGGTGTTGCCCAGGCTGCTGGCAGCTGGTCCTCGCCCAGCTCATCCCCGCAGTCAGGATTTGGGGTGGAGGGCTGAATGGATGGATGGCACGTGGGAGGAGGTGGCAAACTGATGCAAGGATGGGGTGAGTTTGGCCAAAACGCCATGTCACTGCCTGACGGCTTCTCTCTGATGCCCGCTGGTGTCCCTGCAGGGAGGGGACAAAGCCCAAGTGACATCAGTGCCTGCTCTACTCCCATCTTCTGGATGTGCTGGAGAGCTGCATTCTCCTCCTGTTGGCTGGAAGGCAACATCCTTCAGTAGGGATAGAGGAGATGGCCTTGCAGCAGTGAGTGGGTTCATCCCAGAGCCACCTGTGTTTGTTTTTGTGGAGTTTTTGACCATTCTATGTGGACGAGGAGGTACTTCATTTTGGACTTCATTTTGGAAGTTTTTTCCTTTACTTCTGGCGTGGGTTACCATCAGCAGAATGGGTGGTGGAAAAAGAACTGAAAAAAAAGGAGATTAGAGAGTTTGCAACGTTGTGGCTGCCAGCACTTTGCAAGTGAAAAGGTAGGAGAGGGCTCAGCACTGGTGCTGGATTGGACATGCTGCCACAGCCAATTTCTCCACATCAGCTTTGGGTCAAGGCCTCGACAACCCAGCCTCTGGCACATGCAGCCCCATGCAATGATTAACTTCTTCCAAGTCCAGAACCACTTCATCCATCCATCTTTAACCTTTCAGGGGACTTCTGGCACGGAAGCTGTCGGAGAATGTGATTGATGAGCAGTGGGGCTTTGCAGGCACCCACCATCGCAGGCACTGTTGGGCATCCCATCGTGGGGAGGTTCTGAAGTCCATGCAGTTTCTGTGCCGCCTGCTCAGGGCTGTCAGGAGGATGTCGGTTTGAGAGATTTAAATTCACATCAGACATGCAAAAGAGGGTGAGAAAGTGATATGGTTACGGTTACGAGGAGTAGGTTGTGCTGGTGGGAGGGTTTCACAAGAGGGCATGAGGACACCACGTCCATTAGCACTGGGTTTGCCCTTCCACCATGCTGCTCCAGGCACACTGGGTTGTGAATGCTGGAAATGGGCAGTAGAAGAGCGTGAAGGAAATTTAGGAATCTAGGCAAGCACAGAGCTGCTTTGTTTTTAATTAGCTACGTTGTTTTTAATTGCTACTATGCTTGATACATAACCCAGCCTAAACAAGAATAGCTTATTGAATGGGGGACTGACTATGAAAGGCACCGTGAGGAGAAGGGCTGTTCTTCACAGTTGATATATTTGTATTTCAGTGCTTCATTTAATAAGTCTGTTTCCCCAGGGGGCTGTAGCAAGTAAATCATGCCAGCAGATTGTTCTCTGCAAACCGGCTTATTTTTGTAATTAGCAAGACGCTCGAGCTGTAACTGCGCAGAAAGCGATCGGGGGAAGGAGTTAACATAAAAGAATTAGTAAGCAAAATGTAGTAATTATTGTTGGATAACGTTTGTGTTGATTGAATGGGTTCCTGGGCAGTTGCGTTTCCTCTAAAAGAGGAGAGGAATTGCAGCTGCGTGCAGGGGCGGCAGCGAGGTGTGGTTGTGGGGTGCACCTTTGGGGAGTCACAGCCTGCGCACTGAGCCCGTGCAGACTGTCAGTGGGATGATTTCCCTCTCTGATGATGCTTTTCTCCCTTCCTTTGCAGTTATATGAACAATACGGCGTCACCATGAGCGGGGTGTTGAAAAGGAAGTATGAAGAGCTGGGGGATGACAGCACCTACTGCTCCTCCTCCTCCTGTTCCCCTCTGTCCTCCTCGGCGTCCTCAGGCTGGGACTCGGATGAAGACAGCTCCCGTGGAGACAGCAAGCCCAGCTCTGCCATAGCACCTGGCTTTACCCGTGAGTCCCCTATCGCCTAGCCCTGTTTGCCCTATCCTTATAACCCCCCAGCGTCTTCACAAGAGTCTTCCTCAGCTGTCCCTCCTACCATTTTGCCATTTGTTTGCACCTTTTTTTTTGCTATCAGAGCATCCTCCGTCCTTCAGCATGCTATCAGCTGTTCCATAGGCAACTATGGAACAGACAGCCCGTAATGCTGGTTTTGAAAAATGATTAACCAACAGCCTAATTACCATTTCAGAACCCGCTTCCTATGTAAGGTGGGGACTTTGCCAAAGAACACGACGCGTTTGACATTGCCTCCACTGTCAGTACAGATAAATGCTATTTTGTTTTCCTAGCGTTATCGGTTTTGAGGGCTTTTAGGAAAACATGCAGAAGACAAGGTCATAAAATCCCTTATCTGCTGTGCAAAGGGAAAAGAAAGACAATAGGAGACCATCTTCTTGGAGGAGAAATGGTCCAACCCAGTAAATTACACTGAACACCCACTGTATATAGCAGTTAAGCTCCACTTAGCAGACACACACAAACACGCAGGGTCTGAAAAGGCTTTAGAAGTCTTGTAATAATAAAGAGTCTCATTCTTGCTTGTCTTCCCAGGTTTGGTGACAAAACAATGAACTTTTTGTATTCTCTGGCTCCATTGAAAAAGGGTCAGGAATGGAAAAACAATTTGGAGGGGGGGGGGGTAGGAGGGAGAAGCAAATGCCAAAGTGCAGCAGCTCGGTCGATAGATGCTGGCGGTGGTTAACTTGCCTCTTGATAAAGAGCTGATGGTTTAGAAGATTGAATCAAGGTTATTATGAAAAAGCAACGCACGCTGCAAAGATAGCATCAAAGCGATGGCGCAGCCTGGTTCGAAACCCTCAGTGAGTGAGCAGAAGCTGCTGACACAGCTGGGTGAATGCTTTTTTCTTTCTTTTCTTTTTTTCCATCTGAAACTGAGATGCGGTATTTTGGCAAGCAAGACCTGTGAAATGTAGGTGCAGCTTGCTGTTCAGTTTGCACTTTCTCAGCTCTGCTATCCAAGCAGCACAGCTCAGTCTCGTGCTGGGGATTGACCCAGCCCTTCCTGGCTGCTTGTTCCCACATTCCCACTACTTCATTAGCAGAGAGTGACACCAAAAACATCAGACACTGAATTTGTGCATTGCCTCCTCTTCTTCCTGGCATGCAAACAGCACAAGGGACATTTGGATGGGATATAAGGAAAGCTTTCTGTAATAAGGGTGGTGAGGCATTGGCACAGGTTGCTCAGAGAGGTGGTAAATGTCCCAAATTCCTGGAGACACTCAAAAGTCAGGCTGGACAACGCCCTGAGCACCTGATAGAGCTGTGAGTGTCCCTGTTCTTTGCAGGGGGGTTGGACCAGATGGCTTTTAAAGGTCAGTTCCAACTCATACAGTTCTATGATTCTGTGAAATTGCTCTGACCACTTATTCCACCCCTACTTGCTCCATCTGCGTGTGCAGAACCGGGTATCTCTGGAGAAGCTCTGCTCTGAGTGCTGTGTAGTGTATTTCAGCAGCATAAAATAAACCAGAGTCATGCATTGCCATGTTTACCCTGGGGTCACCTGCATCAAGATTAACATCTTAGCAGCTGCTGTCAAATGAGTCTTACAAGAATAAACTACAGATTCGTGGTTCCTCCCAGTGGATGGTAAAAGGAAATACCAGGAGAAGCAGCCAATTCGGGCTATTTTCTGTCCTGCCCCAAAAGCTGGAGCTGAAACATCAGTGTCCCAGTGTTGTGGGACCCTGGGATAGCAGGCAGGGTGAAAGGGTTGGGAACAGGACAGGTTTGGTTGGCTGCTTGTTCGTTCTGCTCTGCTGTATGTGAAGTATATGCAAATGTATTTCCTGGCAGAAGTTGTGGTGGGGAGGAGAAGCAGTGGGCATTTATTAGGGTGAATCTGAGTGGTGACTCCAGTGCATCAGGACTTGGCTTAGTTTCTCCTGTCTCCACTTTCCACCTTTAGATCCTGGAGCATGAGATGTGGTGACCTTATCGTATTATGTTACCATTGCGAGTCCGGTTCATGGCATTCAGCAAAGTTATTTTACCTCCATCTTCAGGATGGCATCGCTGACTGTATACTCTTTTCTCCCCCTTTTTCAGCCACGTCCATCCTGAAGAAATCCAAACGGCTAAAGAAGAACAACGTGGAGTTTGACCGGGTCACTGTGTTCTACTTCCCGCGCTGCCAGGGCTTCACGAGCGTACCGAGCCGCGGGGGCTGCACGCTGGGGATGGTGAGCAAACACAGCTCCTCTCGGCAGTTCACGTTAGCAGAGTTCTCCAAGGAGCAAGAAAACGTTCGTCGGGAGAAACTGGAAGAGAAATTGAAAGAGGAGAAGTTGGAAGCCTTGAAATGGAAAGTGAGTGGCTGGATTGGGGGTGTCTTTTCTCATGAAGGTCTTTTCTTTCTGTTGGTCTTTCCGAGTCCTTGGGACATTGATCCAGAACCTTCTGTGGGTCTCTGAGAAACACAGGTCGGTTCTCTGCCTTGAAAGAAGTGATGCTCAGCTCCCCTGGCAGGTATTCATCAGGTGTTCAGGTGGGACCTGAGCGAGATGCTGTGCACCCCATGTCTTCAGGCTCTCGGGTTTCACTCTGGAGGCTCCGAGACAGATACTGGTCATAGAGGTAGCCACCACTGGGGCAAGTCAGGAAGTGTCTGTGCTATGCAGTCAGATGTATGGTCTGGTGTTTGGAAGGTCCTCTGTGGAGCCAGGAGTCAGATCCTTACGGATCTCTTCCAATTTGTATTATTCTGCAATTTTATGATTCATGTATTGGAACAGGCTGCCCAGGGAGGTAGTGGAGTCACTATCCCTGAAATTGTTCAGGAAACATGGAGATGTGGCACTGAGGGACATGGTTAGCAGGCATGGTAGGGATGAGTTGGGATTGGACTAGATGACTTTAGTGGTCTTTTCCAATCTTTATGATTCCATGATTTCTCCTGGCCTGAGGTGTTGAGGGTTGCTGTCTTGGTGTCCCTGAGACCTCCATAACACTTTGCCCGTGTTTTGCCCTCAGCTCACCATGAACGGCACGAAGGAATCGGAGGAAGCCAACCAGCTCACTATTGAAGACATCTCTGACGACGACATCGACGTCAGCAACGTGGACCTGGAGGATGGCTTTTTTCTCCAGCCCTATCCAGCCAAGAAAAGGCGTGCACTGCTCAAAGCCGTTGGGGTGAAGAAGATTGACAAGGAGGAGAAGCGGGAGCTGCACAGCATCCGCCTGTCCCGGGAGGACTGTGGCTGTGACTGTCAGGAGGTCTGCGATCCCGAGACCTGCAGCTGTAGCTTGGCAGGCATTAAGTGCCAGGTACTGCCCTATCTCATGCATCTCAAGTTGAAGTGGGTAAAGCTCTTGGAGATGCTGCTGGAAAGCATCTTCCTCCCAAATCGCTCATCCCATGGGGATGTGCAAGTGCACACACATTGTGAATGGCAGAGAGAGATGGGCTGTGGGGGATGCCTTGGCAAAGGGAAGCCCTTCGCTCCTCCCACGAGGCTCCAATTTCTCCTCCTCCCTTGGTTTTATTCTTATTCTCCTTGTTGGTGTGCATCCCAACTCCCAGCAAACGTAGGAGCATCAGTGTCAGCTCTGCAGGCCTACCTGCACGTCACAGGGTGACCCCTGTAGCTGCACTTAGTTACCTTCATTTATTTTTTTTTATATTTTCTGTTTTCAGAGGTGCCTGTCCTGCTGTGTTTGCAGGAGTATTCATTACTGTGGGTGCTGCTCACTTGCTTGCTATGTGCTGTGGTTGCAGGCTGGGTGGTGTAGGGTGTGTGTGTGCATATAGTTGCTGTGCACAGGCAGTTGGAAATGCACAGGCAGATGGATGTGCACAGGAGGACTCATGGCCCATGTGCATGTCACAGCCCCCCTCTAGTGGCTGCTCACAGCTGGTACGTAGAAGTGCTGCAGATACCAGTGGAGCAATTTGTCCTTCATCCCGCAGAGAGGCAGAAGCTCATGATATAGATCAGATATTAGATATCGTGGTGCAGTGCACAAAAATTCACATTTGCCCACTTACGTCTCCTTTCTGAGCATCTTCCAAAGAGCAAGTGGTGTGGGTTGGTTTTTTTTTACTATTTTGTATTTTTTGGCTTGCTTTTAAATCCCTCACCCATGCTGCAAAGGTGATGTGTAAGAGTTGGGGGGGTTAATCAAGGTGGCTTGGGCTTTAGGCGAGGGTCCTCACCCCATGTTTTTCCCCCCAGATGGACCACACCTCCTTCCCCTGTGGCTGTACCAAGGACGGCTGCGGCAACACAGAAGGTAGGATCGAGTTCAACCAGGCCCGGGTGCAGACCCACTTCATCCACACCATCATGAAGCTGGAGCTGGAGAAGCAGCAGCAGAGCAGTGAGGGGGTGGCAGAGGTTGAACCTCCCTTCCGAGAGCGGTTGCCTCAGCTGGGCTGCACAGCGACAAAGGGGCCCTTGGAAGAACGCACAGCGCCGCTGGCCCCTGCCTTCCAGTTCAGCCCTGAGTTGGAAGCCCTGGGGGAGAACAGCTGCAGCAGCGACATGACGGACTCCTCCATCTCCTCCCACCCCAGCGAGGACCTGGAGGAACCCTATGAGAGCCTCCCCTCCGACAAGTCCCAGTCGGACATCGATGACGATGGCTTGGCACGCATCCTCCACTTCAACGATTCGGATGCCGAGGAGGAGGCAGACCGCTGCCAGGACAACCTGAGCTGTTTCCACCCTGCCGACTTCTTCATTGAGGACCATGGCTGCGAGGCCAAGCCCGGCCCTGGGGCCTCATCCCACCTGTCTGAGTGCCTGGACGAGAACGCCAACCAGGACAGTGGTGGGCTGCTGGAGGAGGCCATGCACACGCGCTGTGATGGGGTGTCGTGCTGCGCCCCAGCCCCAGCTGAGTCGTGTTCCAAGAGCTATGCTGACCTCAGCCTTTCCTCTGACTCCTTGGATTTCTTCCAGTCCTTCTCGGACTATAACTTGGGACCCCTTTACAACTCCTTGAAGGAGTATGAGAACCTTGATAACTTCTCAGCGTTACAGTTTCAGTTGCCTAATTTCCCCGGTTTCCCGCAAGCTGGAGATCAGGGCTCCTGTTTCTTGGAGTCTCTCATCGGTTTGTCCGAATCCGTCCCCGAAACCCCAGCCCCTTTCACAGACAATCAGCTTTTGGAGGACGCCATCAAGTCATCGCTGATGGAAACGGTGAAGGTGTGAAGCTCCTGGCTGGCTGGGGATGCGAAGGATTGGCAGCATCGTGGTGCTGAAACCAAAGCCGAAGAACGGTTGGACGGGCAAACTTTCACTTGTGCTATGTGAAAAGGATTTAAAAAAAAAAAAAAAAAGCAGACTTTCTGAGCAGACAAACTATTTTTGGTCTTTATAGAATGTGGACGTTTTGACATACTGCAGCTACAATCAGTCCTCTTGCTGTTTGTGCAAAAATTTCTAAACTTTCATGATGGGGTTGGGGGGGGGGGTGGAGGGAGGGACGAAGACTTTCAAGTATGAATTTCCTTGTGTTTTGTATGCAAAGACCTGTTGAGAAATGCTCCTTGCGAATGTTGCCAGTCGTACACACAGCCCCTTCTAGAAACGTTTCGGTGTCGCGGGAACTTTTTCAGCCAACTCTTGAAGCTGTATTTATTGTGAAAATTCGTGATTTGCATAAGGGCCAGACCAACACGCTCTTGGGTTTAAATCGGAAAAGGTTTACAGAAGAGATCCGTACACTATATACGTAATCATCCTTCATCTATTTATTGCAAATTCCAGAATTTAACTAGCCACTGAAGCTTGAACTAGCATGAAACCTTATTTAAATTGGTGATACCTCAGATGTATTATGTGCACAATCATATTTTTTGCATAATATATCTGTATTTATTTATTTTCTACCTGTAGTACATGAATAGCACTGTGGTTTGTCAGTGACCTGGAAGGGCAGTAAGGTCTCCAGCAGCACACGTCCTAAAGATGACCCCAGTGTCTGAGTCTGGGAGGTGCTGTGTGTTTGGTCTTCACCTCACACTGCTACAAGAGCTGAATGCAAGGTGGGTGGGAGGGGAGGGATGAGGGAGGTGTTCCTACAGCATCCTCTGGTAGTGAACCATCCTTTGTAGACGTGATAGCGCGTAGTCTGGTATGCATGATACTGCTATAGGGAGCAAAACCATCCTGTGTTTGAGAAACATGAGCTAGCTCTATTTAATGAACAAAAACCACCAAAATCTTTCCATAAATTATTTTCTAATTTATTGAATTTCCTAAGGATTTGGCCATGAGATCTTTTGTGATTGCTTATGGTGCCTGAATATGCAGAGGAACTGCCAGCGAGGGAGAAAGTCAGGGTGACCTTTGCAGCCCGTGGGGCTTTGGAGAGCAAAGTGAAGGGCAGCAGCACCCTTACGACTCCCAGATATCAAGGATATGGCAACTCCAGATACCTGTGGGCCAGACTGTTTATACTCTTTTTTTAAACAGATAAATTGGGTAAATCAAGGAAAGGAGATGAATATGAAGGTTGTTGCATTATTTATTGAGTACGATTGCAGAGAGGAGGAAAAAAGAGAAATGGTTGTGCTTAGGAGGGAGATTAGAGGCCTACTTAGATTTTTTGTTGTTTGAATCAGCCTGAGAACATGACACTATTTGGCCATGCCATGTAACTGGACCCAAACCTGCACGCCAGTGATACACTAAGTGCCTACGCCAGCAGCGTGAGCGTCTGAGTATCTCTCTGGAAACCCACAGCTGTACATTGAATTCCCCCCTTGCATAGTCACCCAGTTGGGGGGAATCATCCCAGAATGTGGGGCTGGGGACCTTTCCCTTAGCTGAACCCTCGCTGTCCCCACCGGCAGGGATGGGGGCTGTTTGAGACCTGCCACTTGATGGACAAGTAGTCTTGCCATGCCACCATGGCACCCTGCCAGCAATTCGGAAAGCTTCTGGCGTATGAATAGCACGAAGGCTGGGTTTTTTTGTTTTTGTTTTTGTTTTTTTAAATTATTGTTATTAATTATTATTATTATTATTTAATTGTACGTCTTCTCTGGTATTGAGCCGGTCAACCTTGAAGCAGAGTCAACCCGCCACGTCCTCCCACGAGGCATCCCCTGAGGCCATCGCCATGGGCAGGAGGGCAACTGTAGGAATACTACTGGCAGATGGAGGATTTCCTGGATACCTATCTATCTATCTATCTATCTATCTATCTATCTTATTTTTTTGTTGTCGCCGTCGTTTCTTTTGACTGAAAACCCCCCTTGGTTGTCTTCTGGTGGTAGTTGCTATCCTTCAGACTGCATCAAAAATACTGACTGTTGGAAGTCTGGTACCGTTCTGTATTTATTGGCACTAATATATTTTATAACATTCCTCAGTTTCTCTGCGTATATATATATATTTATATATATAAAATATATGCATATATTTTATATATATATATATACACAACACTTTTTGTAATGAATGACAGAGATTGACTCCTGCCATTGTGGATTTTTTTTTTCTATAATTTATTCATTTTATTTGTGTTGGTGCCAAAAAAAAAAAAAAAAAAAAAAATTTTTTTTTCTCTTTTTTTTTTTTTTTCTTTTCAAGGCACTGAATTGTAAATATATAATTTTGTTGCTTGTTTGTTTGTTTTTCTTCTCGGTATCTATGTAAAAAGTTGCCTGTTAAACAGTTTTTAAACTGGCTATTTATTGACACAATCTGTAATTATCTAATGTATTGATTGAAACACTTTGGTTTCAACATAGCTTTATTTTAGCTTTCTTTGTGTATATATTGTGATTATGTTGCTTAAGGGTACAAGTTAAAAAAAAAATGCTTTATTTTTACCTTATCCATTTGCATTTGTTAAAAAAAAAAAAAAAAAGGAAAAAAGCATATTTGTCTACAGCTGCTGTCTCTCATTTCATCAAAGCAATATGAAGAAATTTCCATTACACTTTCAATAAAATAATTTTGTTTGAATGCGGCAGCGTCTTCACCCTTTCTCCTTGCGCCTCCAGCATGACTGCTTGTTACTTTCTTTTCTCTGCTGTGGCTCAGATGCTAGGATGAGGGGTGTGAGAGCTACTGCATATCACAGCTGCTCCTTTTTTCCTTTGTTTTTGCTTTTTTCGGACTGTTTTGAAGCTCATCACCCCAGGATTCCCACCCCAAATCACAGAATCACAGAATCACAGAATCACCCGGGTTGGAAGGGACCTCAAGGATCATGTAGTTCCAACCCCCCTGCCTAGCAGGGCCACCAAACACACACATTCAGATCAGGTTGCCCAGGAAGGACCCCGTCCAACCTGGCCTTAAACACATCCAAGGATGGGGCATCCACAACCTCCCTGGGCAGCCCGTTCCAGGGCCTAACCACTCTCCTTGTTTAGAACTTCCCCCTAACATCCAACCTAAATCTTCCCTCCTTCAACTTCGATCCATTTCCCCTAGTCCTGCTGTTGTCAGCCCTTTTGAAGAGTTTACTCCCCTCGTGGGTGTAGGTTCCCTTCAGGTATTGATAGGCTGCAATGAGGTCACCCCGCAGCCTTCTCTTCTCCAGGCTGAACAAGCCCAACTCCATCAGCCTGTCCTCATAGGGGAGGTGCTCCAGCCCCCTGATCATCTTAGTTGCCGTCCTCTGGACCCTTTCCAAAATCTCAATGTCTTTCTTGTACTGAGGGCTCCACACCTGGACGCAGTAATATAAAATAATGAGATGGACCTCAAAATCATGATTTTGCCCAGGGACGGGTGTCCTCCCAGAGGTACTCAGTACCACGATGAAAGAAGAGTGTCAAAGGACGCCCGTGGGGTAGGACGCTGCCCTCATCCCCATGCCTGTAGCTCTGTCCAGACCTGGACATTGAAACTGCACCGGGCAGAGCATCTTTAGCAAGGAAATGGGAAACGGTGGTTGTATCAAAGCCCAGCAAAGTGCTGGCACGGTGGGTTGGAGTTGTCTGGCTGGAAGGTCACTGTGTTGAGGCCATCTCCTGGGCTGTCCCACTAATGAAGCTCTTTCTGCAGGACCTTCCTGCTGACTGGTGCCAGCCCACGATGTGTGGCACTGAGGATTCAGGAATGGAAAGGGCAAATTCATCTGAGCACAAATCAGAGACGTGAACACGGAACATGAGCTGGATTTGGAACCACGTGTTTTTTCCCCATCAACGTTTGAGCCCCTCAAAATCCAGACTGAGTGGGAATAAAAAACGCTCTAGCTCATTGCAAAGGTGTTTCCCACTGTCACTGTAGTTAGCGCTGATGAACTGTTAAATGTTCATCTTCACTGGGCCAAAACAGCCTACAACAAACTGTCATGGTCACCACAGCCTTCCTGCTTTTCCACCCCAGCGGGAGCCTCCTGTGTCACTCGTCTCCCTCCTTGGCAGCCTCCATGGCAAGGCTGAAGCCAGCTGCAATTCAGCACGCAGCGGGACAGACGTGCCCAGACCCGATGACACACGGCTGTGATTCATTGCCGTGAGCAGCTCCTTCAATGGACCCAATAAATCCCGCCTCTGCAGCTCCAGCTCGAGCTGTGCACTCCCCACCTTCCTCACCCTCTTTACTGTCGTTAGTTTTTCTCCTCCGTGCAGCTACCCTCGCTCCTAACACCCAAAAGCACACAATTATTCATTGTTTGCTTTCATTTAATTCTTTAGTTGCTGCTGAAAGAGTTAAAGCATCTTTGCAACCAGCAGACAGACAGCAGTTCTCTCCCTACATAGGGACTGAGTCATTTGTTGCGCAGAGCTGGCACCAAGCAGGAAGGAGATGTCTCTGTTCTGGGCAGGAACAGCCATAAAGTGACAAAAAGATGGACTTCATGTGCAGTAGGGAAAAAAAACACCCCAGGAGCTGCAGGGCAATGCAAGCCCAGGGTGTTGCCTGGGACGCTTTCATAAAGACAGCTTTTCCCACATCAAGGACCTGCGTCTACTCTGAAGATCCAAAATAAACCACTTTTTATCCTTGCAGCACAGAAATCCTCATCACTCCATAAGGGTCCCTCTATCTAATCAACCAGTATTGCACACCAGCACAACAGCAGCTTAATTTGAACCCCTCGAGGGTTCCTTTGTGCTCATCCATCTCAGGAGCATCCCAGGAAATGGGTGTTGCTAAATGTAGAGAAGAAAGGTAACTAATTCCTAGAATCATTGAAGTAGTAAGGAGCACTAAGATCATCTAGTCCAATCACCAGCCCATGCCTGTGACAGCTCTAGGCCATGTCACTCACTGTGACATCCACTCTTTTCTTGAACATCTCCAGGGATGGTGATTCCCCATCACTCTGGGCAGCCTGTGCCAATGCCTCACCACCCACTCAGGGTTCCTAATATCCAACCTGAACCTCCCCTGACACAACTTCGTGCCAGTACCTCTCGTCCTAGCTCTATTTCTTGCTAGAAAACAATGAATATTCTTCTTCTGACAGACACCTGGCTAAAGGGAGAATTCAGATAAGTCACTGATGGAAAGAACCAAGTTTTCTCCTTCACAGCCTCATCTACGAGGAGTTTTAAATACGGCTTGAACCACACATTTCATCAGCCTGCTTTATATCACCAGGATGCTGTGAACAGCAGCATTGCCATCTGCTGGGCAGCAGCCCCAGCTGCCTTCTCCTTCAGCTCCACAGCACATTTTGCCCAGAGAGTGAGGTACCGAAATGCCTGAGGCCTGGAGCTCAGAGCAGAGCAGGCTGAGGCAGGGCTCACAGCCATACAGCTCCAGTGCTGAGCTCTGCTCTCTTGGGACAACGATAGGGCCTGAGGGAACAACGTGGAGCTGTCAGGGGAAGGACAGCTGGGGGTGAGGGAAAGGCTGTGCCTCAGAGGGCAGTGGGCATGGAATGGGATGCCCAGGCTCAGAGCTGCCATTTGGACAAGGTTGCAGGAGGAAGCTGCCACCACAGCAAATAACATTCCTCCAAAATAAACCTGCTCTATTGAGAGCGTTATCTACTCCACTTCTAGGAAATAATGACTTGGATACTACTTTGGAGTAAATAGAGATGAGAATTTAATGGTTCTTAAGTGCTTTTTATATTGAAAGCTTCCCAAAGTGCTTTGCAGTAATTAGGGCTGAATAGCTGTGAGGAGAGGTGGGAGCACATTGTATTCCCCAAAATATGGGTCAATTTTGCTCAGGAGAGGAAACAATTGGGTGATGAAGTGATGTAAATTTGACTATTGTACTTGGAGGTTTATCTGACAAAACACGTCTGGGGTAGGATGTGAATGAGGGCACGTCCATAATATAAGCATGGAATCATAGGATCATAAAATCATAGAATCATAGGATCATAGAATCATAGGATCACAGAATGGCTTGGATTGAAAAGGACCTCAAAGGCCATCTAGTTTCAAAGTCCCTGCTATGTGCAGGGTCACCAACCAGCAGACCAGGCTGCCCAGAGCCACATCCAGTCTGGCCTTGAATGCCTGCAGGGATGGGGCATCCACAGCCTCCTTGGCAACCTGTTCCAATACGTCACCACCTTCTGAGTGAAAAATTTCCTCCTAAATCATCTCAATCCAGCTGTGACATGACTGAGGGCTCCACTGCCAAGAGTATCTCCGTGTGATCTCTAAGAGCATCTCTGTCAGATCCTCTATGAACTCCGGGTGTGCTGTGTTTGTGGCCATCAGAGATATTCGAAGCTCTGTAGACAGCTCTATGGGGTTGGTGGAGATGAAATGGGGCCTCAGAAACCTGTGCTTCTCTGAATCAGCAGCAGGATGGGATGTCCTCAGTTGTCCCTAGTGGCCTTGTCCTCCATACTGGATCCCTGAATCCCAGAGCTGCGTTGTACAGCATCTACAACCTTACCAAACACCTCAAGATGTTGTGGCCAGTCCTGTACCTCACCAGCGCACCCTACACGTGCTGGGATCAGACTCAGAAGGTGCCTTCAGTGCTTCCTTTTTTTGTTCTGCTAAAGGACATGGGGAACATCAGTTTTCCAAAACATGGACGGCTTCAGCTGCATACTCATCACCCAGCTGTGGAAAAAGCAAATATTTTATTACATAATATTTAATATTATGGTACCCAATGGTGTTTTTGCTGTCCTATTGGATATTGTATCTCTGTAAGACCTAGTACCTTCACATAATAAAACCTGTTGGAAGAACAGCATTTTCCACAGGTGCCTGAGGTAAGGTTACAGATTTTCCTGTAGTGCTCAGAAGCAAGGCTCTTGAATACCAAGGCATGGAAGAAGCACATGCAATGCCACGTGAGTGCTCCCAGGCCATCGCCTCCTCTTATCCTATGCCATAAATCACAGCTGAACAGCACAAACTGTTCCTGTCATGGGAACCCGGAAAAAAAAAATGCTCCTTCTTGGTGCTGGGGACGTGATAATGACTCTAAACAGCCTCTAACACGTGGTTCTCCTGCAGCTGCAGCATAATATTTCTCCTCCTGGTTGCCATCCTTAACCTCTTTGTGGCTCAGGCACTGAGCACACAGAGATAGACCCAATCTCAGGCACCTCAAAGCCAGCAGAGACTGCACTCCTTCACCTCTCAGCATCCAGGAGGGTTCTGGAAAGGATTGAGGGACTCCTGTGGAAAATCCCACTCTCTGAAGCCTTTGATCATGTATACTCAGGGTGCTGCTCTCACTTGGTTCCTAAGCAAACTGCAAGAGCTGTGACTCCATTATTAGTGAGTCTAACAGATCTAGAAGTGAAGCTGAACTTCTGTCACAGCAGAAGTCACAGGCTGTCTTAAAAGTAGCAAGAACCACTCACTAATATTAAAGGGAAGGAAAGCTAATTCATTATTTTTTGTGTCTTTGCCTGTGTCAGAGGAGGACAATTGCCAAAATTCTGAATACAGAAGAGACATTGTCAAGGGCAGCCTGATAAAGCAATGAGCTACAAACACAGCTGGGGCTCCAGTCCTTTTGTAAATCCTGAATAAAGCGCTGCTGGTTTCATTTTCACTTGCACTCACCGCAAT